CTGACAATGCAGAGGGCACACTACCTCATTACTGCCAGTTGGGAGTGGAAGTCCAGATTCCCCACTTACTTTCCATTGATACCTCACGAGGAGGGTTTCCTAGTTACTGCTAGGTGGGAGTAGGAGTTCCAGCTGCTTTTGCAACCTTCTCTGACACCACCCCAGCAGAAAGGGAGAGGGGTGACCACTTAAAGCTAGTGAGGGTGGAAGTCTAAGCTTCCCTCTTGGCCTTTGATGGTGGGATGGGAGTGGGACTACAGCTTTCTTCTGTAGTGTTAGAGCAGTTATTATGTAATTGTTGGCTCCTCCAGCCCTAAGTCTGGGATATATGAGACAAAAAACAAACTCAGGGAACTCACCAGTATGTCACTTCTCTGCTACCAAGTTCCCTACCCGGTTTGTCGCCTTCTATCCACCTTTCAGAATCTTATGTTTATACATAATGTCCAAGTCCAATTTTAGCTGTACTTGGTGGGAAGTATAGGGAAAAGTAGTTCTATTCCATCCATCCCTCCTCCTGTTATTTTTTAAGAATTGTATTCTTGGTATTCTGAAACTTCATAATTATGTGTTTAGGTTTCAGGTCTTTTGTCATTCATCGTGCTGGTCATTTGTTACATCCCTTCATTTTGAGGTCTTTTAACTCTGGGAAATTCTCACATATTATGTCTTTGATCTATTCCTTTTCTCCATTTTATTCTCTCTTTCTGGAAATCCTTAATGTTAGATGTTAGATCTCCTGAATTATTTTTTGTAATTTTTTATCCACTCTCCTATTTTTCATCTCTTTCTCCCTTCCTCTTTCCCTCTGTCCCTCCCTAGCTTTGTCCCTTTCTTCCTTTTGTTTTTGTTTACTTTCTGAAAGAAGATTTAACTTTATCTTTCAACCCTTCTATTACATGTCTTTTCATGTGGCAATCACATTTTAAATTTTAGTATTCATCTTGTTTTCTTTTCCTTACTGCATTCTGTTCTTGTTTTATGGATGCACTATCATCTTGAATCTGAGAATAATAGAGGTATTTTTATATTTCCTTCTATTCTTTGAAATATCTATTTCATTTGTGATTATTTTTTCCCTTGTTTACTTATTTTGGTCTCTTTCTAGTTGCAGTATTTTCTCAAATGCCTAGTGATCCATAGTTGTTGGCTGATATTTAAGAATGTAGCAATAAAAATCTGATCAGAAGCTCCATGTATGGGGGAAGGGCTAGGCAACTGGTGGCCTTCCTTTAGGATGACCAGAAGAGAGCTAACTTGCTATGCTGCAGAATCTCTGAGTGCCGGAATGCTAACGTCTTTTCTCTGAGGTGGTTTGGTTGCTGTAGTGAAGAACCCTCTGTTTTTTGCCTAATGGGTAGATACCTGGCTGCTGTGAATTGTGCACAGAGGAAGGGGAGGGGATTCATGGTTTGATATGCAGCCTTCCCATTAAAATCCCTATTTTCAGCCCCACATTTTACTCCCATCCTTCATCATAGTTGGCATTGTCAAGACCAAGACACTCCAGGCTTCTGCAGAGAAAGAACAACTCCTTCCTCTGAAGCATCACCTCCATGCATACTCCAGGCTATGGCTTCCTCTACCATGCTCCATCAGTCACCATTCCTCCATTTGCTTCCTATCTTCCAGAAATTTGTTGAAATCTCTCTTTTGCTGATGGACCTGTTCCCACTCTCTTCATCATTGTGTATTTGTACCCTTTTTAATCCCTTTACAATAATTTTAGCAGAGTCTCAGGAGGGAGTGGAGAAAAACACATGGTAAGTCTATCATCTTGACCTGGAAATCTCTTTTGTTTTGTTTTGTTTTGTTTTTGTTTTGTTTTGTTTTGTTTTTTCCAGCAATTGTCTTCATATCTCTAAATAATATACAGATTTTTCTTTTTTTTTGAAATGGAGTATCACTCTGTCACCCAGGCTGGAGTGTAGTGGCGCAGTCTCGGTTCACTACCACCTCAGGCTCCTGGGTTCAAGCGATTCTCCTGCCTCAGCCTCCTGAGTAGCTGGGATTACAGGCATGTGCCACTATGCCCAGCTAATTTTTGTATTTTTAGTAGAGATGGGGTTTCACCATGTTGGCCAGGCTGGTCTCGAATTCCTGACCCCTGGTGATTGGTCTGCCTTGGCCTCCCAAAGTGCTGGGATTATAGGTGTGAGCCCACTGTACCCAGCCAATATAAAGATTTTTCTATTTATCAACTTTTATTGATCAATTTTAGTCATTATTAACTTCCTGCTATTTATAGCACCCAAATGCCCTTCCCATGCCTCCAATATAGCCATGTCACTAATTATATATCCTCTATTCCTTATCTTTCTACCCTTAACTAATAATAGACTTACTCTCCCCCTTCTCCCTCTTAACTTCTGTCATCTGCACTTTTACTTTTATATTAACAAGGTTAATAATATTTACACTTTGTTCTATAACCATAATTAAGTCATCCATACTTTGCCAGTAAGTCATTCTGAAAGTTTAAGGGCAATAAAGTGTTTATTATGATGATATAAATATTGTTCCAGAAAGATCCAATTCGTATATTAGGATTACATTGCTTTTCTTATACAGCTTTTTTTCTTAGAGTTTCTAATTGCCTTTCTTTTTTTCCTTGCATTGTCCGACTTTATCAGCTTCTTAAGTTATTCCAAATTCTCAAGGAAAGTATAAAATCATTTGAATCCCCTTTTTCCCCAGATACCTTCTTCCTGGAGTTCGTCTTCCTGTTCCAATTTGGACTGATTGCTCTATAGGCCTGCGGCACAGCTGTCATCCTGGGACGTCCTTTCATTATTCTGGGTTGGACCCAATCTTTCTTGGACCCCATATCTTCCTCTTTCTTAGTTTACTCCCTTGTAGTGGACATTGTAGTTGTTCTGCAGCATCCATTCCACTCCTCCCCCGCTGTATGTCAACTATGGGATATGAGTGGGGTTGACCTCACCACCAGCTCTAGGTGTAGGCCTTTACTGGTATAAACTGATCTGAGTAATTTCACCCTCCTAGCCACAGTGATGACTGGTTCAGGGATGACCCAATCACAATGAGGCTTAGGACTTTTGTTCAGCTTTTGAGAGAGGAGATGACCTGTCTTCCCTTGGATAAGAACAAAGAAGCATGTAGCCTGGTTGCTGCTGTTAGCCATCTTGTGAACATGTGGAAGGCGTACCTGAGGATGGAGCTGACAAATGGAGGAGGCAGAGCCAAGGGAATCATAGAAATGGAACCATATTCCGGATCATGCCATGCCTGAAGTCTCCCTGCCCGTGGACTCCAGTTAAGTGAGCCAATGAATTGCATTTACTATTCAAGACAGCTTGAGTTGGGTTTTCTATTGCTTGCACCTGAAAGCATTCTAATTTATGTTTTTGGTTTTCTCATTCTGGAAAGGGGATGGGTGCATGTTTGGTTATATGAGGTATATTTGTACTGTATTAGGTGGAAGCTTTTTATTTTTTTAACTCATAAGTACAGGAGGAAGGCTATATGTGGATGTTGTACAACCAAAGGAGTGAACTCTGCTGTTCTCTAGCATCTAATTTCCCATGGTGTTTTTTGGGGGAATCCCTCCCAAATTGGGAGGCATGGCCCTTTTTCCCACTATGGAAACTGATGGTGGTCAGATACTTTCTTTCCCGGCCCGCCAGGCAACACGGGCTGAATACTCTGTTCATGGATTTGAATCTGGAACCAACAACAAAAAGAAGCCAGGAATATACAAAATTAACAAAAGGATGATAGATTGGGAGAATATATTTGTCATATTTAAAACTGACAAAAGATTAATAAATAGAAAAGGAAGATAGTTAACCTAATAGGAAAATGGGCATAGGATATGAATAATTTGTAGAAGGGGAAACATGAATATATAAGAGATTTTTCAACTCTGCTAAGAGAAATGAAATTAATACCAAGAAGTCACTATAGGAAAGGTAACATATAGAAAGTTAGATATTATCAAGTGCTGATGAGGATGTGAGGAAAAGGACAACCGTGAGTGGGAATGTAAACTGGTACAGGGATTCCAGAGAGAGTTTGGCAGTACCCATGAAATTAAGTATGTGTATACCCTACAGCCCAGCAATCCCGCTTCTGGGCACATATTCCAGAGAAATTCTTATACACACGTCCTAAGAAAATATAATTGAGGTTGTTCATTGCAGCGCTGTTTGTAGTAGTGAGGAATCACAAGCAATCAGGTGTTCATCACCATAGGACAGGATAAACAAACTGTATATTCATAGGATGGAAAACTAGAAAACAAAAGTAATAAACTAGATTTACATATAGCCACATGCACAGGTCTCCAAAATCCCCAGCATTGAGAGAAAAAAAGTAAGAAACAGAATGGTATTTATAGCATAATTCCATTTACAGAAATGTAAAACAATACTATGTATTTTCATGGATATGCACTTAAATAAACATACGGAAGATGGATTGAAAGTATACATAATTACACTGGAGAGGCTCACTAAGTTGGGCAGAAGAATGGGAGTGAGGATAGGGACTCTGAAGTCCATAACAAATACACCAAAACAACAGATGGGAGAATGGTTGGAGCTCCTTTGCAGTGGCATGTGCCAGTAGGATCAGGTCCACTGGTAGGAATAGTAGGGGACCAACAGCGGCCTTCTAACCAGGCTATTTCTACAGTAGGCCCTTAGCTGTGGTTCCTCCTGCCTGCCTTCCTTGCTCCCACTCCATGTTCTCAGCCTGATTCTCCAGACTTCTATGAGCTACCCGATAACTTCATAATAAATCTCTTTTCTAGGCTGGGAGTGGTGGCTCACGCCTATAATCTCAGCACTTTGGGAGGCCAAGGCAGGCGGATCACCTGAGGTCAGGAGTTCGAGACCAGCCTGACCAACATGGAGAAACCCCATCTCTACTAAAAATACAAAAAATTAGGCATGGTGGCGCATGCTAATCCCAGCTACTCGGGGAGCAGAGGCAGGAGAATCGCTTGAACCAGGGAGGCAGAGGTTGCAGTGAGCCGAGATTGTACCATTGTACTCCAACCTGGGCAACAAGAGCGAAACTCCATCTTAAAAATAAAATAAATCTCTTTTCTGCTTAACTAGAGTCTGCTTCTTTTACTTGCATCCAAGAATCTTGACTGATACATTGTGCATTTTGTTGGAGAACATCTTCAAGTAACTTCTTAAGAAAGGTAAATTTTGGGGTCTTTACATATCTGAATATGTAATCATTATTTTACCTTCATATTTCAATGATAGTTTAGCTTTAGAATTCTATGTCAGAAACAATTTTTTCCTCTGAATTTTGAAGATACTGCTTTAGCATGTAGTGTTGCTGATTAGAAGTCACATGCTAATATTATTCTCATTCCTTTGCTGGCAACCTGTTTTCTCTACATCTGGAAACTTAATTTTTTTCTTCATACTTAGTGTTTTGAAATGTCACAATGATGTGCCCAGCAGTGGGGTTTTCCCTCATCTACTTTCCTGGGCACCTGGTGGGTGGGCCTTTTCAGTCTGAAGACTCATGTGCCCCTGCTCTGAGAAGTTGCTGTTTTATTTCTTTGCTTACTTTCTCTGTTCTTTGTAGAACTCCTGTTAGTTGGATATTGGATCTCCTGGATGATTGTCTTCTCACATGTATTTTCCGAGTAGCTGGGGATTTTTTAATTCTATATTATGACTTTATCTTCTACTGGATACCTTTATTTTGACAGTCACTTTTTATTTCTTAGCATTCTTTTTTTTTTTTTTTTTTTTTTGAGATGAAGTTTCACTCTTGTTGCCCTGGCTAGAGTGCAATGGCGTGATCTTGGCTCACTGCAACCTCCACCTCCTGAGTTCAAGTGATTCTCCTGTCTTAGCCTCCCGAGTAGCTGGGATTACAGGGATGCACCACCACGCCCAGCTAATTTTGTATTTTTAGTAGAGATGGGGTTTCTCCTTGTTGGTCAGGCTGGTCTTGAACTCCTGACCTCAGGTGATCTGCCCACCTCGGCCTCCAAAGTGCTGGGATTGCAGGCGTGAGCCACCACGCCCGGCCTATTTCTCAGCATTCTTATTCTCCAAAGATGCCTTTTCCTAGCGTCCTTTTCTTCTTTTTTTTATGGATGAAGTATCGTCTATGTATGTGTGCTTAATAGAACTTTACTGGCATCTTACAGATAACAGAAGATAATTATCAGGCCAGAAAGGAAACATTTCAAAGAATACCAGATATAACCTCTCCAGGAGAAGGTCACTCATACCTCTCTGAGGGTATGAGTGCCTACTGGCTGTCCTTCTCCATAACCCCCCAGTTTCATACCACATGTGGGCAAGATTATCTTCCCACTGTATGGTTTTTGCCACGTGCTCCCTGCCTGCAATCCAGATCTCCAGCTCTCACCTTGGCATCAAAGAGAGGAGGTCATTTTTGCATTCCCCACTCCCAGGCCAACTGCATTTCCTGCTCCCACGTAACACTCCCCATATCAATTTTCTTTGTGGGATTCTAACACACCTGCCTCACAGTGCTGATCTGAGCCCTGTAGCCCGTAAGAGACCGTCACAGTACTCAGCAGCACATGTCACAGAGTAGATTGTTTTAAAGTTAAATAACCATGTATATAGTAGGGCCAGCAATCCAGCCTCATTCCTTTTTACAGTGCTTCCTCCAACAGGAGTCAATAGCAATTCAAGCCTGCATGTTTCCTGATGTGGTCCCAATGTAGTATCTCCTGTGAGCAAAGTCCTGAGAAAAAATATGCACACATATCTCTCAAAAACAAACAATTTTCATTTGGTCATTTTAGTCCCAATATGAAGTGGGACTAAACATGAATCTAGTCCCAATTCATGTTCAGGATACAAAATTAACTCAGTGGAAGCATAGTACTGTAAAGGACACCCAGATTATATCAGTACACAGAGCATTTAACATTTTAATCATAGTGGATATTTGCTGAGTGCTTACTCTGTGGCAGGCACTTGAGTTACTTTCATTTCATAAACAAGGAAAGTGATGCTCCCGGGTGTCATTCGCCCAGGGTCACAGAGCTAATAAATGGTAGACAGGAAATTGCACCAAGACTGTCTAACCACAGTCAACCCATGTTAACTGCTACACAGAGCTGTCCTGGTTTCCACCAGCCACATTCAGGTTAATAGTGATAGCACAATTTTCTCTAAGATCAGTAGGTGGATACCTGAGATACCTCATTCTAAGTAAAGAGCCTATTCTGGTAGGTTTGCTTCCAGGGTGAATTGCTATCCTTTGCTCTAGAGATAGAAAAGTATTACCAGCTCTTATTTTTAAGATTTCTCTTTTCATAGAAACCATAACACTTTATTTTTTAATTCAATTTAATTTTATTTATTTTTGAGTTGGAGTCTCGCTCGGTCACCCAGGCTGGAGTATAGTGGCATGATCTCGGTTCACTGCAACCTCCGCCTCCTGGGTTCAAGCAATTCTCCTGCCTCAGTCTCCCGAGTAGCTGGGGATTACAGGCCTGTGCCACCACACCTGGCTAATTGTTGTATTTTTAGTAGAGACAGGGTTTCACCATGTTGGCCAGGCTGGTCTCGAACTCCTGACCTCAGGTGATCTGCTTGGCTCGGCCTCCCAAAGTGCTGGGATTACAGGTGTGAGCCACTGCGCACAGCCTAATTTTTATTTTTTATCAAAGGAAAACATATACATACTTAAAAGAATAAAATATGCTAAAAGATGCCTAATAAAACCCAGCAATATCCTGTCCTACTCCCCACTGCAAGTCCTGCTCCCTAGAGGCAAGTATTTCCAAATTCCGTGTTCCTTGCCACCTCCCACTCAGAGGCTGAAGAGCCAGATAATTTCTTAGCCTCCGTTGCAGCTAAGGATGACTACATGACCTGGCTATGGCCAGTGAGATGTTTGCTGCAGGCCTTCAGAAAAAATGTTTGCTTTCCTGAGCAGAAGGACACATAGCTGATGTCCCCTTCTTTCTTTCTGCTTTGAATATAGTCATGCCGTCTGAAGCTGTGATAACCATCTTTTGATCATGAGGGGATGAGCACAAGGATGAAGACAACCCAATTTCTTGATGGCATCATTGAGCAGCTGAATACATGCCACACTTCCTGTTAACTGAAAAAATAAATAAATAAATAAAGCTGTATGTTTTTAAGTCACTGCCAGTTGGGTTTTTTGTTACTTGTAGCTGAAAGGATTTTTAACTGATGGACTGCCATGATTCATCATATGCTTATACCATTATTTCTTTTCCTTTTTCTTTTTTTTAGACAGCGTCTCGCTGGGACGCCCAGTCTGGAGTGCAGTGATGCGATCTCAGCTCACTGCAACCTCCGCCTCCCAGGTTCAAGCAGTTGTCCTGCCTCAGCCTCCCGAGCAGCTGGGATTACAGGCGCCTGCCACCAAACCTGTCTAATTTTTGTATTTTTAGTAGAGACTGGGTTTCACCATATTGGCCAGGCTGGTCTAGAACTCCTGACCTCAAGTGACCCACCCACCTCGTACTTCCAAAGTGCTAGGATTACAGTGTGAGCTATGGCGCCCGGCACCATTATTTCTTAGCAATTTGAGACATTATCTCTTGACACCTTATGGTAGAACAGGATTTACCTCTTCTGTTCCCTCCACACACACCCTACTTTCCCTCCCTTCATTCTTCCAATATGTTTATATCCCAATTCCTAGTAAATCAGTATAGTCACTACAGAGCCAAGAAGTATACTATAATTAACTTTTTATTTTTTTATATTCCTGGTTTTAATAATTGCTTATTGTTTTTCCGTACTTGAAATGTGCCTAGTCTTAGTTTTTTCTACTTGTTTCATCAGTTCATTTATAAGTCTGTTAGCGTATCTCTTCACAAATGTTCAAATCTATCAGTCCATTTTTTTTTTTTTTTTTTTTTTTTTTAAACACTGTTTTGCTCTTGTTGCCCAGGCTGGAGTGCAATGGTGCGATCTTGGCTCACTGCAACCTCTGCCTCCTGGGTTCAAGCGATTTTCCTGCCTCAGCCTCCCCGGAGTAGCTGGAATTACAGGCATGCGCCACCACACCCAGCTAAGAGATGGGGTTTCACGATGTTGGTCAGGCTGCTCTCGAACTCCTGATCTCAGGTGATCCACCCGCCTCAGCCTCCCAAAGTGCTGTGATTACAGGCGTGAACCACCGCGCCCGGCCTGGCCCATTGATTTAAGGAGAATGCAATAAAAGTTGACCCAGGCACTGTGGCTCACGCCTGTAATCATAGCACTTTGGGAGGCCAAGGTGGGAGAATCGCTTGAGGCCAGGAGTTTGAGACCAGCTTGGGCAACACGGCAAAACCTGGTCTCTATTTTAAAAGTAAATAAAAGTTAATTGATTTGGAGCCCTGTGTAAGGGCAGGTATTTGTCAAGTCCACTATTAGACTTCCCTTTAAAGTGACTGAGTAAGGACCTGTACAATCTGCTGGAGGACCTTTAAGTACAGAAAGTAGAGGCCTTTGCTTTGGAACTGTTTGGTTTCTTTGGAGAACCCTCTGATATTTTGCTGGAGTGTAGATACTTGGCTTGTGTGATTTCTACCTGTGAGCATGGGAGAGAGAAGGGGAAGGTTGGGGGGTGTTAACTGTTCCAACACACACTTTCAATTATGTTTGAGGCTTTTATGTCTTGCTCCCACCATCAGGATACCTTTACTGCACCTCTCCAGGATTTGGCAGGGTAGATCAGCTCTCTCCCAGTGGATCTCTTCCTACATGTGGACTCTGCTCATGCCTTTCCCTGCCCTGCTTTCTCAGTTACCATCCCTCCCACCCGCTTTCTGCTTGCCAGAAAGTTGTTGAAATCTCTCCCCCATTGATGGGACCTCCTCCAGTTTTCTTTGGAGTTGTGAGTTTATACCCTTGATCCTTCTATTTTGTAGAGTCTTAGGAGTTAGAGGAGACAAATACATTCCACCTTCTTGAACAGCAGTACTATCTGAATTTTAACTGCTGCAGATTTTCTGAATACACCAAGTTTGTACACCAACATTTGTGAACCATTGGCAATAGAAAAAGCCTGGGTTTGGAAATCTTATGGGTTTGGGTTTGAATTCTGACTTTTTTTTTTTTGAGACAGAGTTTCCCTCTTGTCACCCAGGCTAGAGTGCAATGGCGTGATCTCAGCACACTGCAACCTCTGCCTCAGTCTCCCGACTAGCCGGGATTACAGGCACCTACTACCGCACCCAATTAATTTTTTTTGTATTTTTAGTAGGGTCAGGGTTTCACCATGTTGGCCAGGCTGGTCTCAAACTCCTGACCTTAGATGATCTGCCTGCTTCAGCCTCCCAAAGTTCTGGGATTACAGCTGTGAACCACCGCGCCCGGCCAAATTCTGACTCTTTGGACCTCCTTGCTCAATTCATATCCATGGGCCTCAATTTTCTTCTCTATAAAATAATGTTCCAGGTAAAATACAGTCCCAGGTAGAGCAGTCATGTCTACCAGATAGGGTTCTGGGAAAATTTCCTTAGACACTATATACAAAGCATCCAACACAGGGCTTGGCATACAGTAGGTGTCAAAAAAATAGAAGTGATCACTTTTTTTTTTTGAGACGGAGTCTCGCTGTGTCACCCAGGCTGTAGTGCAGTGGCGCGGTCTCGGTTCACTGCAACCTCCACCTCCCTCCCACCTTCAAGCGATTCTCCTGCCTCAGCCTCCTGAGTAGCTGGGAGTAGTGGTGCATGCCACCACACCCGACTAATTTTTTTGGAGTGATCACTTTTTAATGGGAGCAGGCAGCAAATGTGATTGGAAAGATTTGAATCAGGATTTTGGAGGGCCTGGAATGCCAGGACGTCTTGTGACACCGAGAAACCTTGACCATCTTCTGAAAATCTATCAGATTGTTCCCTCAGTCTGGTCTGAGGAGGGAGCAAGAAGTTCTTGGCCCAGCAGCTCTTGGGTTAAAATCTTCGTCTGCATCTGAGTTATTTGTAACCCGTTGTCATGGCAACAAGTTTGGCAAGCAAGCCAGTGCTGCAAGCTCCTGACAGTGCGGAGGGGAGGGCAGTGGGAGAAGACGGAAGATTTGGAAGGGGGGTGGTCTGTGACCAGTGCCTCACTTCCCTCTGATTTGTCTGAAGCTTTCAGCTGGAGATGAGGGTGAACGTCCTCTAGGGAGAATCACTGGACGTTGGAGCCTCTCCTCCCCAATCTCCTGATATTTCAGATATGAAAATAGGGCCAGAGAGGTCCAGCAGCTGGCTCAAAGCCACACAGCAAGTCAGAGACAGGACTAGACTTTTCTAAAAAAGGACTTAGGGTCATGGAACTGAAGCATAACAAACTGGGAGGGGACCTTTGGAAATGTTTCCTCCACCTCCCCACTGACATGCACATGCCTCTTTGTGTTGTTCATATGAGGAACCTGGACCCAGAGTGGTTCAGAACAGACTCAGCCTCACACAGCAATGCTGGTGCTGACTTGAGATCAAAACCCAGAGGACTCGGGCCTCACAGACCTGAGTGCTTCCTGAGGAGGTGGCAGTCTAGGAGCCAAAGTCCAGAGATGCCCCTGTCTGCTGACTGTCAAGACAGGGCCTCCCAGAGCAAGACTGATTTGACTGCCTTGACTTCTGACTGCCTTGGCCTTTGGCCTCCTCAAATCCAACATGCATGTGTCCAGGTCACATTTCCCCTCCATCGCGTCCTCCTTTGTCAGCATGTATGTGTGTCCTCCTGCCTGTGGCATCACTATTGCCCAAATGGCAGCCCGGCCCCACCCCACCCTGGACCAAAGACACCTGCCACATGCTTCCCATCCATATTGCCTACAGGGCTAGGCATTTCTTGAACATTCTCTTATGTAATTCATTCCTCCCAATTATCATTCTCCATCTCCCAGTTTAGCAGGTGGAAACCTAAAGGACCAGAGAAAGATAGTGACTGGCCCAAAGTCACACAGTGAGTCTTAGCCCGGATCCTTCCTCCTCATAATGATCCTCCTCATTTTACATGTTTCTGCCCATTCCATCCCACACTGATTTCTCAGCCCTCAGAGTTCCTCTGGCACTTATCTTTGTCTTAATCACCCCCTTAAACTTGTGCAATTTCTTCTGTGTTCTCTGCCTTATGTGCAGCCTAAAATCCTCCTGTCTCCTCATAGCTGATTCCTCACCAAGTCCAGTTGAGTCTCTCCTTTCTGTATGTCAAATCTACCTTCTTTCCTCATCCTCTGTCACTATCCTGTTCAAGCCTCAACATCCCTCACATGAATGACCCCAAACCTTCTCCCTGGTTTCCAGACTATCTTCAACCTAATATTCGGCACACCAGTAGTGAGAGGGCATTGATGTGAGTCAACACAACCTTTCCTTCTATGACACTCCATACCCCACGGGCTAAAGTCTAGCTCCTTGACTGGTAATTAAGGTCACATAAGTTCCAGCCCCTGCCAGACCTCTCAAGTCTCATCACCTGCCACTCTTGGCTTCACACCCTGTGCTCTGACCACTGAGCACATAACTATAAGTGCAACTAACTACAAGTGCTTCCTAGACTGCAGCAGGCTATTTTTTTTCTAGGTGTCTTTACAATGTCCTCTGTATGAAAAGCCTTTCACACTGACACCCAAACCCCATTAACTCAGCTGTTCAAGTGTCACTTTATTCATGCAGCCTATCTTGGTTCCCAAGTTGGATGGGATCCTGTCATCTGGGCTCCCACCGCGCCCCTCTGCTCCTGTACCGTGCAGAACTGTTCTCTGGGGCGCTTTCTCCTTTCAGATCAGAAGCTCCTTGAGGGCAGGAATTCTGTCTCCAGCAAAGCGCAGCACCTGGATAGTCCCAAGAGGAAGAGTCGTCGAATATTCATTAAATGAATCCAGGAGCATGAATGGTTGGATGACGAATGAAATTTGTTTTCAGCTCTGTGATTGCGCACTCTAGGCCGAGGGCCTGGGTAACAAGACTTGTTACCTAGCAGCTTTCCCTCCGCTTCGGGGCGTGGTTTATGGGGGCGTGGCTTGTGTCCGCTTACGCTGGGTAAGGTGGCAGAGCAGCCCAAACTAGACAGGTGTTGAGCAGGGAGGCGTGGTAGAGGAGAAGCGCGGATAGAAAGTGAGGGCCTTGGCGGGGCGCGGTGGCTCATGCCTGTAATCCTAGCACTTTGGGAGGTCGAGGCGGGTGGATTGCC